ACATTAACCCTTGTTTGGTGTTTCCCCCTTATTTATCTAAAACAAATGACATGATAAATTACTTGTGTTTATGTGTGTAAGACTTGTGTTTCTGCCCGTGCCATTGCTGCACAAGGTTGCAACATTGTAGATAAATTCAACCACCCACACCTGTCTGCTCTCACATTCTTCTATTCTGCAAATTTGGGGTGGGACACAATAAATAAAGCTTCGCCAGTTTGTTTGTTTTATTGCACAGTCAAGACATAACAATAACGGCATCACGCTGTTCCAGGTGTGTCGTATGCATGTAAATTGAAGTTAAATAAAAGTGTGAAATGTAAAATAAAGTGTAAGTAGTTTCAAAACAATGTAACAGTGGCAATATAGCAGCAGACACACCTTAGTGCAAGTTAGGTGTCAGTATTAAAAAACAGTGGCAATATATATATATATATATATATAATAACAATAGAAAATCGTTACCACTCTTATTATTGTGGTCTTTAATTTTTGTATAGTCCTGCCTGAGTTTCTTTATTTTTACCCGGCATCCGTGTGCACTGTTTACGATTCCCAGCTCAAGTAGCTTTTGCGAACATCGCTCAAAACATTTGGAGTTGGGAACTGCTTTCTGTAGAAGCTGCTACATCCCGTCCTCGGAGTAAATTGCCAGAAGCGCCGACACCTCCTCATCATTCCACCGCTCCGGTGTTGTAGTAGGCCTACGTGTGGTCATAACTGCTTTAAAGTACAAAAAAAACTACTCGCTCAGGTGTGGATGTGGTTTTGTAGCGAGGAAAATAATGGCTGCCTAACAAAAAAAATTCAGAGTCTAACGGGGCGTGGTTTGCAATTCGCCCAGCCAATAGAAATAGAATATAAATTGGCACTCTTTTATCACCAGGTTCGTACCACCTCTCTAGCAGGGACTGAACATGGCCAAAAGAGTTCCCGGGCTGCTTCTCAGGTCGATTAAATGAAATCCTTGCTTCCCTCACTTGCGTCGTTTCCCTGCGTTTAGTCCCTCCCACCAGATTTCCACACACCCCCCCCCCGCCTCTGTTAGTACACATTTACTGACACAAACATTTGTATCATCTGTTGTAGACCCCGGCCGAGGCTATAGCCATTTCAGAGACCTTATATACAGGACCGTCCTGTATATAGCCATTTCAGAGGGTTGTGTACAGGACGGTCCTGTATATAGTCATTTGGCGTTGTGTACAGCAGTGGTTCTCAAAGTGGGGTCCGCGACCCCCCGGGGGTCCGTGGCACTCTGCCAGGGGGTCCGTGAAAAGTTTTCAGATTCATTAATTTAAATTATCATGATATCATTTTTTTTTCATTTTTTTTTTTTTTTCAACAAATAATCTTTTTTTTTTTAAATCTAAAAATTTTTCATAGATTACGTTCAAATCTAACAAATAGATACATTTAAATATCAAGCGCGTTACCGTGGAAACAACAATAACTGTTACGTCAGTCAAAGAGCGCCGCTGCAAGCATCATAGATATATAACACGGCTAGCATACTACGAAGATGGACAGGTCCACAGAAAACTACCGGTATGCTTAGTCCTAACTTACTTTAGTTACTGTACTGCAAAAAGCAGACGGCGCTGCGCTCAACACACAGACAGACTCAAAACCATGGACACACTGGCACATAAGTTACATAAACAATTTCTAGGCCTAAATTGCATAAGCTACAGTATTGCAACTAAGCAGACAGTTCTCTC